CCCCGAGGGGAGGTGCCCCGGCAGCCTGAGCCCGCGGCCAGCGTGGTCCTGCCTGGGTGGCCCGGTGGGACGTGCCCACCTCGTCCCTCCAGCAGCTGGGAAACCAGCTGGGGCCGGGCGACTCGATCGCAGCTCGCTTCCGCCGCGTGCAAAGGAACCGGGGCGCGAAGATCCTTCTTTTCATCTCCGCCTGGCGGCAAGCCCAAAACCCACATACGCAGCAAGGGGGAAGGGGACACGGCAGCTACGCTGAACATCTCTGCCCCTTCCAACACGCTGCCCTTTCTCTGACTGGTATCTAAAAGCCATACACTTTCCCAGCACCAGGTTGGCAACCAGGATCCTTCCCCCTACCCCCATCAACCCGTCTTGGCCCACTCTCTGCTGTCCTCTCTGTCTCCTCAGCCAAGGCTCATGTCTAGCAGTGTGAAGGAAGCGTCGCAGCTTCGCAGTGTGTTTGTGTCTCCTGAATGGCCTGCCTGCTGGCTAGCGCTAACCTGCTCTGCCTCTCGCCGGGGGCCGGCAAGGCCTCCTGGCAACGCTGGATTTAAGGCATGCTCAAGCAGCATCCCCATGCAATCCGCTTGCCCTCCATCTCTGGGAGAGCTGGGAGGGGAGGGACCCCACCACTGGCTGGAGGAAACCCAGAGACACCATTTCCCAGAGGGACGAGGAAATCTTGCTGACTCCTCAAGCCATCTCCATAGTTTCCATTTGCTTTCCAGACACAGAGACCACTAGGGATTCAGCCATCCTCTGTAGATAGATTATAGCCTTAACTCTGCCAATAGATAGATTAGAGTCTTCTGGGGTCTCCCCTATACATGACTTAGGGTTTTTATTTTCATTTCCTTGATGTGGATATTATTTCATCTTACAGGGAGTGTGACCAAAGTCTCTGCAATTGCATGAGATTGAGTTCCAGGAACCTAAATCCTGCTGATGTGGTCCTTTGCTCTATGGACTTATATGCACCACTTACAGCATAAGCTAATCTTTAGCAGGAGAAAGAATACCAGAAGCGATGATACCAGCACAATTATCTGGTTATTTCTCCCTTCTTTTGTGGAACCCGTGGTTCTGAAAACGACCAGCTAGGTGGTGTAACGTCCCATGGGCTACTTGATGATTTGAACTGCAGTTCCCAAATCTTATCACCAGTGATAATCACTGTCAGGGAATAGTCCTTGTGCCATTTCAGTCTCAGCCCAGAGTAGCAGCAAGGTTCGACATCTCTCCTGTGAAACAGCCACAGGCTCTCCCCCACTTCTCATCCCAACTTAGCACACACAAGTAACTCTGGCCGAGACTGAGCATCTGCTATTGGCAATTGCCTCATTGTAGCTTTGCCTTTTTCTGTCCTAGTATTTCCTCACAACAATGATGTTTACATGTGATTGCTATAGAGCTTATGTAGAATGTATATAGCGACACATTTAGGGTGGGTAGTACTGTCCTGTGCTGTGCTGATGTTTTTCAGAAAACAATCAATCAAAAAAAAAAAAAAAAAGCTAAGTGGAATTCTTCCATCTCCTTGCTCAGTCCAAGGCCGGATCACAGCCCACGGAGCCGGGCTCGGTCCCAGATGGAGAATGCATCAAACATGACGAACGTGCAAGGGTTGAATGCAGCAGCCAGGGGAGGCCTTTCCAGAGCCCGGAAGGAGCCTCCTCCTGTGTGAATCACTCAGTCGCTTCACAAGCATTGGTTTCCGTGTATCCAGATTTAAAATTTCACACTGTTTTCCTGAGGCTGGACTTCCCGTGTCAGCCAGCAGCCAATGACCTTTGCAGAGCTTCTGCGCATCAAGTGAGGGTCTCTTGAAGAGAAAGGAAGCTCTCGTAACGCACAGAGCCCATCAGTACTGCAGTCCTAGGATAGGAAGAGATGCAATAAGTGGTCTTCGTGTTGCCTGAAGCCTATAAATGGGGGTGGGGGGGGTGGGTAGGGTTTTTTCCTTTTTTCTTTTTAATTTGGATGGCTTATTTTCCCTCCTCCCTTGAGAAATATCTCCTGGACTTTTGCAATATGCGCAGAGGTGCAGGAAACGCACTCACACGTACGTCTGCGGCAGGAGCTGGGGGCGACGCGCCCCTCTGCTGGGGGCTCCAAGGGGAGCCCAAGAGGGGCCGGGGCTTGCAGTGCCTGCTGGGCGGCTCCAAGGGCTGCCCGCGACTTCTAAGACTCGGTGAGTGGGGAGGATGTTCATCTTGAGAAGCACAGGCGTGAATATCTGCTAGGTTTGGAATCACTCACACAAGGTTTGTGGTGAAAAATAAGTTCCCACTTTTTTTTTTTGTTGTTTTAAATGTAAAGGTTTCTTTAGCTCGCAGTGCTCTAGTCTGCAAAGGGGTGAGGAAAGAGGGTTTTGGCACAGGGTGAGGATGGGAGTTTCCTCCGTTAACGGACTACGATCTCGTTTCGGGTCCTACAGAGGACGCAGGGGCAGGCACTGCACTCCCACCGCAAGGAGAGGCCCCGGGCGCTGCCCAGGGAGAGGGGACCCGCGGCGCGGGGGCAGCCAAAGGCACGCAGCCCTCTGCGGGAAGGGAACCCGGCCCCTCGCCCGCCCGGGCTGCGGAGGGTGCCCGTGGCGAGGGCCCTGGACGGGGCCCCTCGCGCCTGCGAGGCCGGGGGGGACGCCGCCAGGAGAAGGGGTCTCTCTCAGAGACAAGCTGGGAGCAAAAGGGTGTCTTACGGCAGGAAATAAATAAGGAGGAGATTTATTTTTTTAAAAAATACCTAACTATAGAGTGTCCTCTGATAGTTTCCTTGAAGTACTGTGGGGAGATGCTAAATGTGAAGAATTTAGTGGTACAACGGCCATTCACTTTTTTGCACAGATTTGCCCCGTGAACTCTCATTGTTTCAGGGTGGGATATACGTTTTGGCTTGGAATCCAGTGGATTCCTCGGACTTCTTTGGAAAGGAGTAAATGTTTCTGAATGTCTGGGCTGAATGCAGAGGACAATCCAGGGTTTTAAATTTGATGTTGCCCCAGAGAAAAGGTTTATCCCGATTTCTACCCAGCGCAGCTTTCTGGGCTGTGTATCTTCCTTAAAGAAGCAACAGCTCAGTCACGAGGTTACAGTTCGAGTGGCTGATTTCAGCACTGGTACATGCAAAGGAGCATTACAGACCAGCACTTTTTTTCTTCCCTCCCTCCTTTTTTTTGTACTCTTTTTTTTCTTTCTGGAACTATGCTGAACACGTTGTTACTCGTAGCTGAGCCTTGAAACCCTTTTTGTTGAAGCATCTTAGTTCCTCCCTGACAATCTCAAGCAATATAGAGCCAAATAAAGCCTTCTGCTTTCCATTCCTCTTCCTTCACCAATTCTGGAATCAGGTAGTAGCTTAGGAAGTCTGGTTGTAACGCACCAGGTGGCACTGAAAGGGGCATTATTTATCAGAGAGCCAAACTGAGTTACATACTACGGGGGGGAGGGAGTGTGTGTATGCATGTGAGAAAGAGAGGAAGATTAAATTGATGCATTTCTTGAGAAAGGTGTAAGAATTTCACCTAAAAAGGGGCACATCTGCTTTGTTATTTATAATAAAAGCTAAATTCTTCTTCTTTTTTTTTTTTTTGAATAAAAGGACACTGCTAATAATTATTAGGGGCCAATTCTGCCTCCCTTTCTCATGCTGAGTAAGTACTACTTACTTACCTCTGTGATTTTCTATTGCAGAGTAAGTAAAACTAGCAGAATTGATCCCTCTGTGATTAAGAATCAAGGTTTTAGTCTGACTTTTTTTTTTTGATTGGTAGCGGTTTTTTATATTTCACTTAATTTTTTTTCCCAGTTACGTTCCGTTGTGTCCTTATTTATGTAATATACTTTAACCTTAAGAGACGGCATGGATTCTTATGCCTTTCCTTTATTATTATTATTGTTATTATTTTTAAAAAGAGATTTATTTCTAGTGTGATTTAACTGTCTACCTTCTAAAACAAGAGAACGTTTTCTTGTATTTTTACATTGTCAGATTCTATAGTTTCATAGATAATTTAACCAAATCGCTCAATGTATTATCTATATCTATCCAGTGGGTATAAAAGTTCTATTTTAAATTGTGTAAATACTTCAGAACTGGCTTCTTTTTTCAGACTCCCCCTGCCGTGGAGTTACTTGTTTACATCACAAAGACTGTAGAATCTCTACGCTCATGTACTGTAAATAGTGAAGTGATCTGCCTATAAATAAACTATAACATATATACTATAAAGTGGAAAAAAAAAAGCAACAAGTCTGTGCTGATAATACTTCAGTTCGCTAGTGCACGCTTAATGCGGGGAGGAGGCGTTCTGTGTTTCACAAGGGCTTTCGGCTGCCTTGCCGGCTTGCAGCGGGAGATGCCGGGGAGGACGGTGCGGGCAGCCCCGCGCCG